GGAACCTCTTCTAACCGGTTCGGTAGATTTGACGAACCGGTTCTACCGAACAGGTGCGAACTGGTAGGAACCCACCTCTGATTGGTACTATTAAATTCGTTGTTTAGAACTTTGACTCTACACTCAAAATATAGGAATCACATATATATATATGAATGAAGGGTCTAGTGGAAGCATCTGGACCTCAGTCTCTTACCTGTGAAGCCTCTAGTCCTCCCAGGGGCTGGTTGCTGCATTGATCCAATAGTGCGAGGGTAAAGAGGCACTGGATAAAAAGGTGCTGCCATAGAGGGCACGAAGGGTGGAGGTGGGAGAAGAGGTGGAGGAGCCTGGCGGTTGAGGTTGATGCCTTCCAGAATACTCTGCCTCATCTTCTCTACTTTAGACACCTGCTCGGTCTGAACCAAGACCAAATAGAAACAGAACACACAGAATAGGCATCCAGTAGAATTCTGGGAAGATCTCCATATTCTTACGGTCTTTATATAATATCCTCCAAGGTCAAGAAAGCGCAACTGATGAGAAATCTAAGGCACGTTCCTTTGGCACAACGTGGGCCAAGTGCCCATGGCAAAAATCACACCATAAACTGACAGTAATTGGGATAGGAATCCAGATAATAGCAGATAATAGCAGATGCTGCGACACGCTCACTGAAATCAGCAAGAGCTGAACACCATTTTGTTTTATTTATTAAATTTATTTGCCACCCATCTTGCCTTGGAGCTGCTCTAGGCAGCCTACAACAATGAAAGAAAAAAAAAGATGATAAAAACGTAAAAACAACAACAGTAAAGGAATGAAACAATAAAAATAATGAAAGTAGAAAATATGAAATGAAAAAGATGGGAGGGGGAAAGCAGGAAGTGCAGAGGTGGGGTCAGCAAGTTAGTCTAGTAACCACCTCCAGTAATTAAACCCCCCCCCGCATTGGGATGCCCCCCCCAGGGCAAACAACAGGGGCACTTTTTTCAGGGGATACACCCCAGGGGATAGGAAGTTCCAGAGGGCTGGTGCTACTGCAAAGTCTTCTTCTGGATTTTGTGAGTCAGAGTTCCTTGACCGACAGGATCCGCAGCAGCCTTCTCTGCCGGCCACAGGTTAGTTTGATCATCCTGTACAATTCACTCTCTAAAGCACAAGATAAGTCAGATAGCTGGGCTATCAGTTTGCTCCAAGACTTATTTAGGGCAGTAAACCAAGGAGAATGATAGCACTGCATTTTTCCTGCTGTCTTTGTGTACAGCCTAATAAACACAAAGTGCACATTCAGCTATTGATGAGGGAGACAAAACTGAAAGACAAAGTTATCTGGAATATCAGCAATTTTTAAAGCTGTTTTTCTTTTTTCTTTTTTAAATCATTTTATAAAGCTATTTGAGAGCAACATCTCTATCTTTGCTCAAATGGCTTCGCTGTTGATTTCTAAGAGAGAGAAGAACCCTCTAAGGAGCCGAGGTGGCGCAGTGGTTAGGGTGCAGTACTGCAGGCCACTTCAGCTGACTGTTATCTGCAGTTCAGCGGTTCTAATCTCACCGGC